CGAGCTAAATGATAAACAAGTGCTTTTTCTCGAAATAGCTCTTCACCACGATTGGTGAAGGAGAGAGCTTTTTTCCAGGACTACTGCTGGAATAACAAAAGTCTTGCTATTTGTCTTTCATTTGTCTTACGAAAGACTTTTCATTATCTTAGCCCTGTTAGTAATAGTTTTTGGTGTAACTACCTGCACTTCTGTATTTTGTTCACTTAAATTTTCACTCAATAACAGTTTAAACTTCAACTGCTTACGTTCACTTCAACATTAGCACCTACTCATCTAATTTAAAAACTCACTAAATTTCCCTACTTCATCTACATGCAAATATTTACTAATCGCCGCGTGTAATGTGATATCCATGTACATACATATGTCATCCTCCTTCCACTCCCCTATCGCCCATTTATCTTATTTAACAAAATAGTCTCACATGTAGAAACAACACCTGAACTTCTCTGATTGTCTACACGGTTGAGATTTTCTCATAAAAAGCGGGTGTATCTTTGATAAAATGTTACGACAAATTTACGACTTCCGCTTTTATTTACGGTAACTCAGAAATGTTGCACGTGTCATGTATCTTAAAAGAAAACCACCCAAAAGTACAAAAAAAAATAGACAAAACGAAGATACTCGTGGTTATAAAAAACGCGCGTACTTCTCAGTACAACTGTACTTTTAGGATGCTGCAAGGGCGCGAGTATGTTTGCGTACACTTGCACTTCTGTATGAGCTGTTTGCAGCGACTGTTGACTGTTGTGAGTAGCTCATAGGAGTGGTGCTTATAGGCAATCAGAGTGTGTGTCACAGTTGCGTGTATTGCGGCACGCGGCCATATGCGTACATATGCGTTTGCTCTGATAGCCTCTGCCTCTAAACTATTACGTTGCGTCACGTGCTCAAACGTCAAAGCGTCGGTTGAGCCAATCATATAACTAAATAGAAGAAAAATAGAAAATTAAGCTCGCAATATTTAGGCAACACATGTGACCGCTTTTCCGCCCCCTTTCGTCTTCCAATAAAATCTGTTAAAGAAAACGTTTACGCCAAAAATCGCATTGAAAAACACAGCTTCTGTGCGCACGCAATAACGTAAACAACTTCTTGCTTATCTATCCGCAGCTCTATATTTTGCCTTTAGTCGCCCGCCCACCACAATCCATCGCCTCCATTGTCCTTTCGATTCGCACTTGTTTTCGCTCACTATTTACGTGATTGCTACGTGTGTACGTACGCTGGTTGCCACCGCTGCAGCTAGCTGCCAATATGTTGCGTGTCTTCCTTACGGTACGAATATTTTCCCATTTGGACAAGCGCTGCTTTCTGCTGTCGCTCGACATTTGCTTTTCGCTCGTTTTCCGCAATTTTGCCAAAACAATTTTATTGTGTTTTTGATAAAAATCACTACGATAGCATTGAGTGCTACGTTTTCCGTTTCCGTTGGTGGTGGCGGCTCCTAGAGGGCGACGAATGCTGCACTGAAACGCGAAATATTCGGAGGGAAGACTTAATTTGAAAAGGTTTCTAATGCAAGAAATTAAATTTTTGGTCGAGTTTCGCATAATTACATTAATTTAAACTTTTCATATATGTGGCGATCATCTTTAAAATGTTTTCGTAATAAATATTTTTTAAGTCCCGTTCGTTTGGCATCCATATTGAAAAATTACAGGTTAAATAGAATTTAAAGTTTTTTAAGCAAGTGGCAACTGTCTTCAAATTCTCGTCTTGCGTTTGACACCTATATTAAAATATTTTATGTAACTGGTTAATTAAATTCAGTTTATATTTCTAACCAAGTGGCAGCCCCTTTAAAAATATTTTTGAAATAAAGCTTTCTTAAACCTCTCTACTTTGGTACCCGTATTAAGATATAACGTTCAACTTGTTAATAAAACCGATTTTCACGTTTTGAACAGGTGGCAACACTTTTAAAGGATCTTTCCGAAATAAATAGTTTTTGTGGAGCACAGTGCACATAAATAGCACGAGGAAAATCCATCCTATACTTGGCCATAAAGTTACGAACACGCTCTACCTAATTCCTAAGCTACACTACTTGATAACTATCCTGAAATCAAAAAGTTGATAAAATTAAAAATCTTAAAGCCCCCAGATTTTTTTTTTTTATATTTGCGTTATAAGTTAATTTTGCTTTTCTCCTAATTAAAAGGCACTCGTATAGTTTTTTTCCCAATTTTCTTCTTTTTAAGTGCTCGAAAAAAATCACACAGCAAATTTCACTTTCCATCAACCTGCTTTCCGCTTACCCCCCATTTTCCAATCCCTTCCAAACGAAAATTACATTCATTTGATGCCTTATCGTTTGCCCCACTCCCGTAAAGTGACAAATTTTCAGTTTCAAGTGCTTGCAAAATTTATGAGTGCACTCTAAAAAGCGTACCGTTGCCTCCATTGAGAGACTTTCGGTTCAAAACAGTTGTGTGCTCCTGCTCCGCTGAGACGACACAACTCCTGCTGGAGCACCGATGGTAAGCGACAGCATCACGTTCAGCGCCATAACCGCCAAAGACGTCGACGTCTTTATCGTCTGTTGCTTGCAACACAAACACAGCCGCACTTACTTATATACGCCGATTTCAATAAAAATAATGTCTGCTTATGTCATTTCGTTATGCGTAAATGCTTCTGTATCGTTCGTATGTATGTATGTATGTGTAGGTATATTTGTTTTCGCCCATTTTTTGGGTTTATTCCCCAGCTTGTTCTTGCCAATCTTATTGTTATGATGGCTTGTTATTGTTGTTATTTTTATTGTTGCTGTTGCATGAAAAGTCATTATTCTACGTGTGCGACATGTCTACTTGCCACATTCGTTTCTTATTTCATAACTTCTTACGACTGCTTTCCATTGTCGATTTCTTCGGTTTCTTGTGCTTTTGATTCTATGTCTCGTGTCTTGCGAAATGTTTTTTTTTTTCAGAAATATTTTTCGGTTAATAACTTGTCACAATATGTTCTTTCATAAAAACCTATTGCTTCATCATACTCCGTGCCGCCCGTCCTCTATAATTTCATTGCACTGCCTTTGCTATTTTAGTATCCTTGTTTATCGTTTTTTCTGTAGTCGTATTTTATTTAGTCTTGCCACACTTGCTGCTGCCGCTGCTGCTGCATGTTTACTTCGCAAAATGAATTATGACATCTCTTTCCATTTTTGATGGCACCTCAAATGTAGGATGACATCTTACATAGCGTTTGACATCTCGACACAATGAGCAATATTTTTTGTTTTCTGAAAATAATGTTTTTCAATTATTTATAAAATGATTCAAGAATTTGTTAACCTCATTCAGATGTGGGTTAATGTATACGAGTTACCAATGTTGGAATAAATTTTTTGGAAAAATATTTAGTTATCGGCTTCGGTTGATTTTTTGCAATTAGGTAAAGACAAAGTGAAGACCAAGGAAGTGCATATGTTATATACGAATAAGCCCATTTGAAGCAATATTGAGAAAATTCCAAAAATTTTTATTTTATATACCGACTCTGGCTAACAGAGTAGTTCCGGCGATATTGTAACCCGTTGACCCAGGAACTACTTCGATCATTGAAATGAATGAATGATCTAGTTCCAAATTTAAAATGAACTAAACTGATATATTTCTTTCAACCCTGCTTCTATACACAAATAGAGAAATATTTAGTCATTTGCCCACTGTTTTCGGAATGGGCGGAGGGGCCACCTAGAACCCCACCAATTCTATAGAAAAGCGCATATTTCAAACTGTATTTGTTAAATTACTGTTCGGAAACTTGAAAGTTTTATTTTAAATTAAACCCCAATCCGCTGGCTACACGTGTAAGTTATTTTTTATTGGATCGGGTCACTCATTTCGATACAATAACCCGAAACCAGTGGGCAAATAACTAAACCGTAAATAACTAAAACCTTTCCAAATTTTTAGCTAGAAAGAGGAAGGGCGAAAATCATTGCGCTTCATGTGAAATGCTCTACTTTCCGGCGGAATGAAAACGACCCGGCCATAGGTCCTTGAAATAGGAACGAGGATGCTTAGTTCTATGGTACAACCAGGGAAGTGAGTATTATAGACAATCTCTAATATTTCTTCGAGCTATTTGTATTTAAGTGTTCTTAAATATTGGCGCGGAAATTTTTCCAGCTTAGATGACCTTTTCGATTGCTCGTTTTCTTACAGCCAACCTGTGGATATACTATAATAATAATCACAGGGACGCGATTTGTAGGATCTTCACCATTCTCAGGCTATCTTACTTCGTTCATTATGTACTTCTGGCTCATTATCCTAGAATGCGTATACAGTAGTATCAGTATCCTCAAAGTCTAAACCGGAGATGGTTCTTCAAGGTTTTGGTCCATGGTATAAAGTTACAGGTGGTTCACTGTGCCCTTTAGCTAAGAATCTGACGGCAGATTTGTTTCCACGGATACACTCACCGGGTCTCCGAGTGGCCTATGGAGCCCGTTAACGGTTAGGAGGACACAAGATCCTTAGGTTTGCTCTCATTGCTGTTATTACTGCCTTCCATTTCAGGCTTTCTGCTAGAATACCCTTGGCCCCTCTATCAGCAACCGCGTAACCTAATTTTTTCGGATGGTTTACAAACGTGTTGAGGAGTCTGAAGAGCCGCTTTCTGCCGCACATTTACGACTGGAAGAGCTTTATTTCTCGCCTTAGAGCATCTAGGATAGAGATCTAGCTTACTCTTTTTTGCTTGGCGACTGTTAAGGTTCTGGGTATCACACCTAGTATTTACTTTCCTCATAATGGGCTTCTTTGCGCCAGATGCAGCTACAGCGACGACCATTGTGGAAATATCCTCATGGATTTCATTCACGTTAGCCTTCGATGTAGAGGGCTAGCAATCTAACTCTACCAGCCCTACAAACTTACCTCGCGACTTAATAGTCTAAGCCAGTGCTCGTCAAACTTTTGAGTGTGACGGACCGGCTGCAGTTTTTCTATTACGTCGGGGACCGGTACATTTTTTTATTGATTATTTTTCGTTTACGATCATCTCATATATGTATTAAAATTTGTTTAAATGAATTTCTTTATTAGCCGGGTGTCTATATATGACCTATTACCATTTAATGATAGCAGATATTAGCGATTTTTTATGAATGTTTAACAAATTTAAGTTGTTTTTATTATACAAGTTGTATATAGCCTCATTAAACAGTAATATAAAACATCACAAATGTAATAACTGTAAAGTTATAATAATAAGACATATTATAAGCACGTCAAGTTTTATTAAAATTATATTAATGCTATTGGAAGGTGTCATTCCTTGTAAAGTTACGAAAGTCGATGTTTACTAATGCGAGAGGTGAGCCTGTTTATTATTTACAAGCTTATCAAGTCGTGGCTCAATTGTGGACAGTGCGACACGCAATGGAGAACTAATATTTAAACTGTTCCTGTACTTTGTCTTAATAATACTCATGGTTGAAAACCCAGTCTCACAAAGGTAAGATGAAGGAAATGGGAGTAGAGCTTTCAGAGCAATTTCAGCAAGTTCCGGGTATTCTGCTTTGACATGAATCCAAAATGACGCAAGTGATGTCATAGTTTCGAAAACCATCTTCAATCCTTCGTCAGCAGCTAATTCCAACAATTTATCTTCCAAATTGACGGCCAGATCAGCCTTCGAAGCAATAAATGGATTTCGTATCCATCCTGTACCTATTCGTGGATCATCTTCTGCCGGAAAGTAGTGCTCAAAACGGTCGACTGAATTTGTCAAATGTTCACTAATGACCCTTCGAAGGGATGGAACATCAAGTTTTTCGCCTGTATCGGCGATGGTTATTGCCAAATTTTGAAACATATCAAAGCAATCCGCTGATACTCATCTTCTCCACACTTCCAGCTTTCGTTTCTGCCCATCGATTTTGTCTGCCATTGTAAAGCACGAAGCCATCCTTCCTTGCATGGTGGTGTTGAGCTCATTCAAGTTGGCGAAGATATCTGCCAAATAAGCTAACCTGGCTATCCAATCTATATTTTTAAATAGTGCTGACCAATCTGTTTTTTTGTCATGAAGAAACTTGGTGAGCTCACTTCGCAACTCAAAAACTCTTGACAATACTTTGCCTCTTGACAACCAACGCACATCGGTATGCAATAGGAGCTGTTTGTGTTCAGCCCCCATACCATCACACAGTGCAGCAAACAGTCTTGAATTTAAAGCGTTCGCCTTCACATGGTTAACAATTTTAACAACTTCGCTGAGAACACTATTCAGTTCTGTGGACACATTTGTCAACGATGTACTCTCTCAGTGCCTTGAATACTTCAGAGCTAGCAGAGCTGTGTAAGTGTGAAATCATTTTCAATTTTAAATCAACAATTTTTTTCTATCCAGTTTTCATTACTTATTCTTCGCTTAGGATTGAGGTTTAAAATTTTTGAATTTTCCATTCTCTCAAAGCAGTTATGAATTCACACATCAACATATTCATAGCAAGATTGAAAAAACCAATGCCCAATCAAAAAAAGGTTTAACACTGAATGAGTATTGAAAAGGCTGCAATCTTGTATGTGTGTGCATTCTTTAACTCAGTACCAATCATTAGTTCAAAGACACCCTAGTAAATAACTTTTTGATAAAAAGGAAGATTTTTGACAATTGCTCAATTGTAAAAATTCAAACCGGCGTTACCCAATTTAAGTTTTTTGGTAGAGGGGATTTTATATCATATGTTTGGGATTATATATAAAACAGTTGTATTAACATTTACGTTTTAAATATAATTCATGTTTTATCTTGAAAATGTTTAAAATTTACAAATTTACTTCGCATAAGCTTTACATTTAGGTTGATAAAATTTTATTGAAAATATTTTAAAAATCTTAGTGTCTTTAATCAAAAAATAGCTCATCATAAAAATTGTATCGCCGTTCGGCGTCGGCGTAAGTTTGTAGGTCCCTCCCATTTGTGTGACAGCAAAGGCGCACGCTACAAATCGGAGGAGAAGCTCGGCAAAAACTTAGCAAAAGTGTCAAGGCCAAAATGTGATTATTATAAATAAATTTAGTTTCAAACAGGTCGCAACCCTCTTCAAACACCTCAAAAGTATTCCCAATATTATTTAGTTGTGAACCCGCATGAGTCCGAAATTACCATTTTTTACCAGAATTTCCAGATTTTACCGGAAATCGTACTTGGTTTTCTGGCAACTGAGAGGACAAATAAGAGAGTAAGTAAAGTCATCTCTTTGTCAGAAGCTACCTGGTGGAAAATTCTGGTAAATCTGGCAAAAGATCCGATGTAGTGTGTTTGACAACCAAATTGTAAACAAAAGAGAAGTGCACTCTGCTAATGCATGTTGAAAAGTAAATAATTCCTTGCTTGAGTGGATGCTAATGAGTTTTGGTTAAATTACAAAACGCTTAAAAAGGTATTAGCTGTAATTTTACGTTTAAAAACTTTAAAACTTTAACACATTTCCACCCTATACTCTATATGTGATTGACCATTGAACTAAATCGTTGTTTATTTGGGTAAGATTAAAATATATTTTACTATTCAATATTGGAGTTGGTGTGAAACAAAAATTAATAATTTATTGTTATGTATGCAAATGAGAACTACAATTCTGAGCTTTTTGAGCATCTCTTAGTCAAACACAAAGGCAATTTTGCTTGATCAAGTTTCGAATCTAAGAAGAAAATGTTTTTAACAAACAAAAGGTTAATAATAAAATTTGAAGGATTTAAGATATTGCGTATGGTAGCATGAAACGTCACAATCTTCTTAATTGTCAGGCTGTTGATATGGCTACGAAAAAGTGACAATGGAAACACATAGCTGAAGATTTCATACTTACAGTGGGATAAACTTCAAACCTCTAATATAAATTAGTTAAATTTAGTTATTATTTTTTTTTTTATCAATTTTAAGTTTTCGTTTGGAATAGTTTTGATGAACTTATCTATTATCTCTTTGGAAAATTACCGTACATCCGATATCTATTGAAATTTTGACATCCTCACTTTTTGGAAAAAGAAGTTCAAGATACAAATTTATGTGCAAAAAATAAATTAAACAATAAAAGTCTCCTTATATTTATGGAACTTATAATAGAAAAATTTTTATTTCATTACCCAGACTTTATGAATAGCCTACTCTATAAGTAATAGTACAAATTCCGAATTAGTAAGTTCAGTCAAGACGTCATTCAAAAGTTTTGAAGAAAATCACTTTTCTCTTTTGTGAAAATTTGGGACTATCTTATGCGAGTATTGTCGACAAAATGTTAGTCTATGAATGACTAAAAATTAACGAATAAATGGTTAATCGCGATTAATGATTAAAATTAATTAAGCGATCGCTGTGGTGTAGTGGTTAGAAGTGCGCACTACCATTCCGCAGGGTGAGCGTCCGAGCCCAGTTCCGGCCAACAAAAAAAAGAAAATGTTTTTTGTAATAGTGGTCGGCCCCCGGCAGGAGTCGGCGTAAAACTGTAGGTCCCTCCCCTTTGTGCGACAACGCCAAGGCGCATGCCACAATCGGAGGAGTAGCCCTAACATATGTCGCTGGTCCTCTGCAATAACGGCACAATTCAAAATTTCAGGTTTAGAAAAATACATAATTTGAAAGCTTACAGTATGACTGCATATAATCCGGAATAATTACGTTCCAAGACATATTATTGCTAAATTACGAAACAAAAAATCTTTAATTGGCTCTACTGAAATATATGAAATTTTTAGTTGTGTCGATATGTAAGCGCCTTTCTATTATTATTAGTAATCATCAATACAATTTCAAATTACATAAACCCAGTCACAGCCCTTTTTTGTATTCGACGCTTCCAGAAATCACATAATACATAAAATAAATAAAAGCTGTTTTGATTAATATTACATAAACTGGAAACTGTTAAAAATAAGTGCGCTTGTGTACAGAGATTTAGAACCTATTTAGTTCCTAAAATGTCTGTTTGCAACACATAACAATAAAAATGCACATGAAATTGCTAAGAATGATGAAGGAAATCGATTCAGACATGCCTGTTTAACTGGCCGTGCGTGCTCAAAACAGACACATGTTAATTAAGGAGCTATTCGAGTATTATGTAACCACCAGTGGAAAGCGGGGGTCTTGGTTTCCTTATTTTTAATAACAACGGGCAACATTTCTTCAAATAAGTAAAACATTAATTACACACGCACAAATTTTGCCTGCAATTTCGATCACAATTGAACACTGCACTTCACTCTCGTTTCGAATTTTTGAAAGCGTTTTTTAAGCTATTTAGTGGTTTAACACTTCTTGTGGGCACTTGATATTGTAAAAAAAATATGCGCAATTCGATCGCTAACTACATTTTTTTGTAAAGAACGCCCGTTTGCTTTAAATTTGTAAAAATACAATTATTTTTTTATTTTGTTTACGTCTGTCATTTGTTACAAATGAAGAAAAGTCCAAGAGTTGCCAAGTATAAATATCTTTATATCTATTTATTAAAATAATAATTTACAATAATAATGTATTTAATTAATACTTTATTAAAATACAAATTTGAAGTGCAAATACATTTGTAAAACTGTTTATCACAAAATGTTATTAATTGTTTGCAAGCATACTATAGTTTTCATGCATTTTGAGAATAAATAATCTAATATGTGTACATATATATCGTCGTTTAAAGTACAAAACCGCCTATCGTCATTCTTCAAAACCGTGTGACTGACATTGGCTGCCAAAAATTGGATTTGCTCACAAAAACTCTTGGCTCAATTCTTATCTATTCGTCCTGAAATATACTAGCCAGAATACGTTTGCTTTATAAAAAAGATAACCATTTTGAAATATGGGTGACTTTACTCTCTAGAAAATAATTTATGCAATTACGCGGTTTTGCATTTTCTTGATACGCGGTTTTGTACTTTAAACGACGATATGTATAGCATGTACATACGGCGGCCGCCGTAGCGGAGTGATTACATGTGCGTACTTCCACTCCATAGGACCATGGTTAAATACCTGGTCAGATCATAGCCCAAAATAGCAGTCGTCCTTCGGCACGCAATGGCAAACCTTCGAGTATATTTCTGCCTTGAAAACTGTTCTTATAAAATCAGAACTCATGCCTCAAGTTTGAGCAGAAGTTCGGCCAAACACTTAGAAAAATATTTTAGCACCAAATATTTATTTGTTTACTTGTTTTAAGGGAGATGGCAATCTTCTGGTTTCACATTTTGAGTACAAACATTTCAACCCTGATACAACAAATAGTATTAGTACTGAATGATAATGACAGATTGCATTCCCATAAACGTCCAATCATACATGATTGAGTTTTTTTTTTGCATTCACATTCTCTATGTGAATGGGTGTCAACCATTCCATAACACACTACATATTTTGTGTTTACAATTTGTAACCAATCTCAAGAGTGGTTGTTAAAGTTTTTAAATCAAACAATCACATTTTTGAAACGAAAAAAATGAGAATGCACACTCAATTGATTCAATCATTACACAGCTCTGAGAGCTAGTGGTTTGTTGGTAGGGAACTAGAAAAGAAATTCTTCTTTTAAGTCGTCTTTATATTGAAATCGCACATACACCATAAGAATTGCCAAATTGGCAACATCCGTAGATTCGTCCAACTGCAACTCAAAATACTTAGATTTTTTAATCTGTTCTATTAACTGATCTTCCATATCATGAGCCAGATCTTCAATACGTCGATGTATAGTGTGATCTGAGAGTGGCACTTGAGCCACTTTCTTTGCCGCCGGCTCACCCAACATTTCCAAACACACATCCTTAATACTTCCTGCCATGAGTGTCCCACCGATTGTATACGGTTTTTTAGCCTTAGCAATACGAAGTGCTACCTTATATGAAGCTCGCAAAGCACAAGTATTGATTTTTTTTGATGATAAAGCTGCTTCACTTTCATTTGTGTCTTCATTGTCAGATTTTGAAGGATTTGAATTTATTTGACGCTCATCATTAGTATTCTTATTTCTCCTCTTAAGAAACATATCCATTGAGCCTTGCTTCGTCATCTATAAATTGAAAAATAAATAATTCAGTTTCAGTTCAGTCTTGAATCACTCTGCCAGTCTGCAGCGAAAGCGATGCAATGAGCCGTTAACCAAGAACAAGAACAATTTCATATGCACCATTCGTCGCTGCCATTAGTAGCAACAACAAAGCGAAAGCCTTTGAATTTGGTTTTTGTTTGTTGGCATCTGCCTGCAGACTGGCAGAGTTAAAACCTACCGTGTTTTGTCAAACCAATAAATAATAAGTAATGATTAATAATAAAAATACGTATCTACGCTGTAACAAACACAGAACACTACATGACCGTGACACTTGTTCAACTGGATCAAAGAAACTAAACAAAAGAAAGACACATGTATCAACACATTGCCTCTTGGTTCCACGAAAAACAAACGGTATTTGTCGTTACTTTTTGTATGTGCCAGTGTTGTTAGTTAGAAGCAAGGCGTCTTAATAGAGGTGATAGCAAATGAACAGCTGATCGTTAATTTGAACAGGTGATTTTGTGTTGGAGATGTCAAACTAGGTTACTTTGCTTTGCTCGTTTGTGTTTTCGCTTGTGCTTTGACTTAATATTTTGACATCTCGGACGTGAAATTTCTAGTGCTACTACCATGTAGATAATTGTACCATGGTTAGAAGTGTGGAGTATACATATAGTCGTATATGTATATATAATCGTTTAAAAAATCGTTGTCCATTTCGCGACGCCCTTTGCGGACCGGCGACTTATGGCTTACGGACCGGCACCGGTCCGCGGACCACCACTTTGACGAGCACTGGTCTAAGCCTTGGGATCGCTAAACCGGCCTTGAGAGAGGCAGAATGTGTTTATTTACTCGTCGGTCGACTTTTAATTATTCGCTGTTTTCAAAGATGCGCAAATATTTCTATCTGGAAATAAGGGAATGCTAACGAACCGGGTAGACCAGTTTTCTTTTTTGCTGAGGAAAAGATATTACTAACGTCATCAGCTTGGTTTAGCGCAGCTACTTTAATCTTCTACCTCGTCTATTTCTTGGCTAAGCCTTTTGTCTTATAAAATCACGTTTCAAATTTTAGAATAAACTGACGCATACAGCAATTTACTCTCTTTAGCCATTTAATTGACCTCGAATCAATTGAACATTTCAAACTTGAAGGAGGAAAATTGCTGTTAAAAAAGGCTCTAAATAGCCACACACAAGATTTGCAACAATGTTGCTGCAGCAACAAAAAGTGCTGACATTAATTTGATTCGCAGTGGAGGCTATCGCTATAGAAAAAAAGTAAAATGTAAAAAGAAAAGAAGCAAGTTAAAAAAACTGCATTCAACGTATGCCAAAGGGAAGTTACATGTAAAGTGTCACATACGAATGCTCGACTGGTTGACCATAAAAAACCATTTAGCCATTTGCCAGTACCACTTCAGAACACAAAAAGCGTACAGCACACAAATGAAAATCAAAGAGGAGTACTTCAGGGGTATGCAGCGGTTAGTGGAGTGCAAGACTTGCATGCGAACGTTTGCCGCAACGGCAGACGTCAGCTTTTGCACACATACAAGTAGTGCTTTGTGTGGCTTTGCGTGCAACTCGTGCTGCCAATTCCACGTGTAAACCAGGCAGGTTTATGTTTGCTGTCTGCAGAAAATGCAACAACACCAAAAAAAAAAAAAATGTCGAAGAAAAATAAACTATTTTATGGATGGCTACAAGAACTTCATTTTATTCACTCTGCAAGTGCCGCATGCCACATGCCACATGCCACATACCGCATGCTGAGCATGATGGACAAGTGCTGCAGTTCGAAGAAGAGGTGGCGCGGAGGTGGCTAATACTACTCTGCCCTGGCGCTGCTGCTCCACATGCGCCGTTCGAACCTAGCCACCGCCTTCCGCTGTCTACTGCCATGCATTGCTGTCGATCGACTTGTGCTATGCGTCCAAATCGACTTTGTTTGCCGCATGCCCGTTTCGTTCTGACGACGCTCCTTGCATTTCTCAGCTTTTTCTACTTCTATTCCTTGTTTGTTTTATTCCAATCTCGTGTGGCTTTGCACTGGTTGCTTTTTTTTCTTTTTATTTATTTTATCCTTTTTGTACTTTTTCTGCCATTCGGTTGTGTTTTCAACTTCCAATCCGACATTTGCACATATCCTGACAGTTTAGTTCAATATTCGTTTTGCCTCTTCTTTCGTCGCCCTTCTGTCACTGCTGTTCGAACTTGTTTGCCTCTGGCCGCCATCGCATCGTCACTTGTCCTCTCCAATTTGCAATCCTTACTGCCGTCGCCATCATCGCGGCCGCTGTCCACTTCCTGGTCAGCAATTGATTTTTGCAGTTGCACCACATCGCCAACCTCTCACCCCTAGCTGTCTATTTTGTGTTATGGGTCATTTAGCAATTTTTCACTAATGCACTCTCTACCCCTTTACCCTTTTCTACCTAGAGGCTCCTGCTCCTGCCGCCTGCACTCGAGTGTAGTTTTAAGTTTGTTGCACGATTCCAGTGTCCAGCTCTCCTTGCATTGCACACACACATACATAGTCTCACCACACGCACACATCCATACAAATTAAAATATACACACTATTGCCTAGATTGCTTGTTATTACTACAGTACCCCGTTAGTCTATCAGGCCATCAGTTTAAGTTGTTAGTGCCTTTGTTAACGTATGTATGTCGACTGCTGCTGGTCGATTTCTACCAGCATGCAACCTTTGTTCATACCTACTTTTTGTCCACGCTCCACAGCGAAGGGCGGAAGGGCGAAGTATTCAGTTAGTTAGTAATTTATGCTGGCTCTTGGTTGTTTCATGCGATTATTTTAGCCCTTATTATTTTCTTCTTATAGCGGCAATTGCGGCATTTGTCCTTTCAATATCCTTTCAGTCTGGCGGTCAGCTAGCGGTGTGCATTTGTTGGCAGTGTGTGGCGTGCGTGTCGACCAGCATTTGTTGGCAATAAACTCAATGCCATCAATGGTATTCATTGTTGTCCAATGGTGGCACGTATTTGACGCCAATACACATAAAGTTGTAAAATCAATGGACTGTATGAGGGGGACGTAATGTTACAAGGTGTTTGCACTTCAATTCGCTTATTGCTAGCGCATATTTTTCTTTCCTTCTATTAGACTAGTTTCAGTGGCAGACTTCATGCACTTACATGTGAGGATCTAATACTCGATTCATGGTGCTTGGTGAATGTAGTATCCTGTCCTGGCAGCACGTAGAGTTAGCGCTCAGTTTGCCTAAGAAGCTCCGTTGGCTACTTATGGTCCACATAGATATGGGGTAAGAAAGTGAACATCTCTTGGATTTTCGGCCACACTGTGCAGCGTCACAAGACTTTATCCCGTGCCTTATCCATCTACATACCTTATTTAATGCGCCAGTGTGGTCTGGATCCTTATTTGATCGGAAGTGAGAATTCACAATCATTATTTTTGATTAGTTCCTGGATTATAGAACCCTTAAGCATGACCTTGGTTAGTCTGGCAATCTCGTTAGAGTTCTTATCGCCACGAGCTTCTCTTTTATTTGCGTGTAGCGTTTTTCTTGGGTCCTCGGTTTCCTAGATCTCGGCAGAATCTGCACTTTTCCTAGTTTGGAGCTTTCCCGCATTCGTTTGCCATTAGGGGTAAGCTATTTTGTGCACATAATTTTCTCTAACCGACCTGGGCGAACTCAATATGCTCTTAAACACCTCAATGAAAATGTTCTAGTTTTCAAGTCGAGGTTTCTTATATGAAGTATCCTTAGGTGATATTATTGAACAGATAGCAGAGCGTGTAAAGTCGAGAAAAAGAATCCTCTGCTTCGTCACCAATAGCCAAAGAATATTCCATAATTAACAAACATTGCATTTTTAAATTTATTTAACTCGACTACGTGTTTCTAAGCTTTTGCTCACCTATCCCTCCCACCCACCTCTTTCTTACTGTTACCTTGATTCTTAACATTATGATTGCATTTTCCACTTTATTGCTTCGATCACCACCAAACACATTCGCCATTTCACATTTTGAAGTCTTTTGTCTTCCATCATCACACACCATTTCTCAAAATACACCTACAAGCGTACATACAGCCACAAACAAAAATGCGAAGTCATACACATTTCCACCATAACAATGAGCTAAGCTTTTGCTTTGTTATCCTTTCGCGCTCACTTAAAATCGAACACACACACGCACACCTATGCTCCTACACTTATATATACTCGCCTGCCACGTTTTCACGTCTCGCTCACATCTTTCTTTGCGCATTTTTCAAGCGGGAAATGTCGCGCTGTTGAGAATTTGTTACACTTTTCAACATGTCGCTGGGATGGCTGTGTGGCATATGTGTTTATTGCCTGCTTGCCACTCGGTTGCAAGGTGTGTTCGCACCGTACACTCCTCGCCTTTATCCTGTTCCTTGCGCGTATGTTGCTTCCATTTCTTTTGTTGTTGGTGTTGTGTTTTTGGCTCACAGTTGGCAATATAATGTAGGCAATAAGCTAAGATTTTTCTTGACTTCTCGCCACATTTATCTCATGCCACAGCTGGTTGCAGCTTACGAGCGAGTTAGTAAATAGAATAATGTGGGTGAGACACACATGAGCAGCCAATTGTGCGCGTGTGGGTGTGAGCGCCATTTCGTGCGTGTCGCAATAACATTAGATTCACACCATAAGCCAAACAGAGCGACAGAGTGAAACTGAAACGAGGCTGCTTAGCGAGAATAGTCGATACACCTTTCGCCATCCTTCGGGTAGGTTGGCTTGGCGATGGAGGATTACTCCTTATGGTGCAAGGTTTTTATTTTATTTTGTAAAACGTTGCGTTGCTTGTTGTTGTCGTTGGAATGTCGCGCTTCCTGCTTTATTGTTGTACCAACAATGGAGTTGTTGTTTTTGTAATGTTGTTAATGTTTTAGTTGTTTCTGATCTTGTTTTTGTTGCCACATTGTGTTAGCACTTGTTTTAGTGGCAAAAAGTGTTGATTAGCATCATATGTTTTGCAATTTTTTACAC